TTCTTTACAAGACACTAAGGTTTTACACAATAGCCATTGCATTAGAATTTATTGTATTTCTTCATTGGAAAAGGATGTTATTAAAAAATAAAGAAATTATATAAAAAATGATATAAAATCAAATTATATGAATTACTTATCTTATCAAAAAAAGGATTAAAGATAGTTATATGATGTTTTTGACTTAAAAATTAAAAGAAATTTTCAAGGGTAAAGCACCAATATTAATATAGCTTTCTATTCCCACTGCACAAAGAATAAAATGTCTTTGCCGTTGTAAGGAAAGCAGAAATAATAATAATGAGATAGGGTATTTAAGATGAATATATAGTATAATGAAGAAATAAAGAAATAATAAAATTATTGAATTAAATAATAAAAATAAACCAAAAATAATTAATGAAAGAAAAAAACATATTAAATTTATTTATTTGGATGAATAAATGGAAATGTTTCATTATTTTGAGTAAGTAAAGAACTTTCAGAAGAGTCATCATCTTGAATATTCTGGAAATGAGGGAATGGATCATATGATTTACTCTTTGGAATATTCCAAAACAATACAATAAGACAAGTTAATGGAATTATTTCCCACAAAGTCATTAATACACATTCCATTAATTGAGCAAATAAAGTTACAACAACAAAATTATTTTCACAAATAGATGATGGAGTTTCTGCAGAACATAATAAAGAAAGAAGTGACCTTCCTTCAATAGAACTAATTAAATCATAAATAAAACGAGTAGAAATAGTTAAACAAATAATAATACCAGCAATTCCCATTTGAATTGGACTTGGATGAGATTGTTCAAGATCATGAGAATTAATAAAAAAGATTCTAACTGAAACATAATATAAACCAACTAATAAAATAAAATATGTAATACCACTAAATGCAAATGTAGAAATAATTAAATATTTTGTTTGTTCAAATACTAACATAATATCAATTATTGATAAAGAAAGAATATGAAAGAAATTTAATAAAAGAATTATAACAATAATATTTACTTTCCAATTATTCCATTTGTATTGATGAATTAATGAAGCATAATAATATGTTACAAAAGATAAAATTGCAACCATTACAAAACTTGGTACACTAATATTAAATAAATAATTTAAATAAATAATTTAAATAAAGTAAAAATACAAACTCTGATATCATCCATTGAATTGACATTTCTATTGAATTCTCTTTTTCAAAATCAGAAAAAAGGAATAAAAAGAATGCAATCATTAAATCAACAACTCTAAATACACACCATGATAATGCAAATAAAATAATTAAATTTTGAAACCCACAAAATCTATGGCTAAAATATTAAGTTATTCACTTTAATTATTTTGTTAAATAACAAACTGGTTTTTGACTATTCTAATACTTTGTATTATACATAAAATTGCAATAATAAAATATTCAAATGCTATAACTAATTTTTGAAGTGGAAAATCATAATTGTCATTAATGTCATTTTTACTTTGTTCACTCATAACGTGTTATATTCCTTTCACAGAACAATTTTGAATTTGTAAAGAACGTAAAATCTTCTTCTTTAACCCTATAATTAAATATTAGTTTTTTTTATTATAATTTATACAATTTGTTTTTATTATTCAAAAAGGAAATGAAAAAATAGAAAATTCAATCTCTAAATACTTTTCATTTTCTTTAAAAAAAAATAAAAATTATAAAAGAACTCAAAAAAGAAAAAAATTATTAAATTTCATAAAAATAAGAAAAATGGAAAATACAAATTCAACTAATGAATTACCATACCTTCTTCATGCTAAAAGAATGTTAGAAAAAGAAAAAGAAAATGTTTGAAAAAATTTTATTAAAAAAAAATAATATTTTAATTATTTTAGATTGAAAGAAGAAATATTATTTATCAAAATATTTGTGAAGAAATGGATGCTTTTGATGCGTTAGGTGTTGGAATAGATTGCGATTATAAACAGTTTTGTGAGTCATTGAATCTTCGGTATTATTTTTTTTTTAATAAAAAAAAAAACGAATAAAAATTAAAAAAAAAAATTAATGAGCAAATTTCTTTTTAAGTTCTTCAAGCTCTTCTGGAGTATATTCATTTGGTTCATTCAAATATTCTCTCATTTCATCTGCTGTTTTTCCAATTAAATGTTTTGAAATGGAACGAGCACATGACTCAATGAGCATTGGAATCTGCATAAAAATAGCACCACGAAAAACTTGAAAAAGAACATCTCTTTCTAATTCATCACAGAATTGAACATCCCATGGTTGAAGTGGTGCATATTTAGATCTATCTTCTGGTTTTTCATTATACATATGTGGATGTTCACTATGGTATTTCATCCATCTAATAATTAATTCCATAATTTCTTTAGAGACATTAGTAATTGGAATTGGCTCATCTGCTGATGATCTTTCTTGCATGAGACTTTGGACAAGGACAGATTGGTTAGCACAATTTTCACTTACAGTGAAGGTGGTTTTATCACAAGACTCGATAATAACGTTTTGAGCAGCCATTTACTTATATATATTTTATAGTTTTTATTCCTCTTTAAATAGCAGTTTATTGAGGTTTAATATAATAATATCATTGTAAATTTAAATGGAATTAAAAATAAAAAATGACCTTTATTAAATAAGAACTAAAAAGTATTAAAGAAGAACTAATAAAATAACAAAGTCGTTCAAAAATCTGTTATTTATTTAATCGTATTTATTTTACTAATACCTTTTTTAATGCAGAACAATAACAAAGTAATTAATTAAGTATTAATATACTTTTCATCTATTCTTCCTAGTTTAGCGGAG